ATATATCTCCAATGAAAAACATTGCCCTAAGGTATGGAATACTATTTTCAATGTATTTTAGATAGGCAGATGGTACAATTTTATAAAGTATATAAAAAAGGAAAAATAAAATGGGGAGCTGAAAGAACTAGATATTTTATGATTAATCTGAATTACTTAATTTTACTTGCTTAAATGTTCTTGGTCAAGACAAACAATTATTTGATCTAGAAAAATAAAAGTAGATACAGTCTTGATACAGAGTAAATTTAATATAACTTAATTTTGAATAATGTACATTTTCCATGAAATACATTTCAGAGTTTTGAGAACACATTGTAATTTAAAGACTGCATTGTTTCCTTGTCTACTTTCCTCACTGTTTCGACCTTATAGTCTTTTAAAGGCAGCTGCTTCCAAATATTCACAAAAACAATCATTCATACAGTAAACTGACCCAAAGAATTAAAAAATGAAGATTCCAATGCTATTCATGCCAGGAGTTCAGAGAAACCTAAATTGTAAATAAGTTACATAGTAAGAATTCCAAGACCCTTAGAACTGTGCTGTCCCTTATGAAGATGTGAAAATCCTAACCAATAAATGTATCATTGATCTAAATTTTTAAAAATATATAAAATGATACATTTCATTCAACTTGGAACAATCTCATGTTTGGCTAAAGAACTTGATTGTAGCTCATCTTGTGAATTATATCACATACTGAGGGTTAGAATAGATGATTAAATAATCCCATTAAGAAATCAATGTAAGTTTAGTATAGAAGGAACATTGTATGATTGATAAAATATATTGTAAAAACTAGACTGTACTATTTTTAAAAGTGTACTTTAAAAGATTTTTGAAAATGTCTTGCAAATCTTAAATACATTGGTAGGCACTCTATGTTCCTGGATTTTTTAACTGACTGATATAAAATTCTGATTCCTTTTCAATTCTGCATAGAGATGAATGTTAATAACCCCATTAGTATGTAAAGGTAGCATTGAGATTGATGTATGATAAATGCTCCAAATGGGATGAGTAGAAATACCTGTCTTTTCAATAACTGCATATTCTCACTACCTAACTTGACACTTTTGAGACACATATTGTTTACTTTAATTCTAGTGACATTGACTTCTCATTGAGAAACTACATGGGGAAAAATGTCTAGCCAGTGGTAGAAGAAATCAAAATCCACCACCTATCTTAACCAGCTTATCTTTTCCCTTTATATCAGTGTGTAACACATCATTTCAAGATTACCAGATGTTATTAAGAAAAAATCTTTGACACTAAAGATAACTCTTCCATGAACAGACATACTTAACCTTGAAGGAAGTTTGTTTTAAAATAATACAATGTATAGGTATATTGGAGCAATTTATTAAACATGATGATGGTATTAAACAAAATGATGGTATTTTAAAATGCAGGAAATCTTGTGAATCTTAACTATGATTATTATAAAAATGTTACTGGAATCATGAATCTAACTTTATAAATGGAGGTCTAAAAGATAAAAAAACACAAAATCTAGAATACAGAGCAAAAATTATTGATAAGTTGGTTTAGAAAAGATAAAAATGACTGCTTCAATGAATATCTAATTAAGTTTCACAAGAAGAGAACACAGGAAATAAAGGAAGTAAATAGTAATAAATGAAAATTTATAATATGAAAATGCTATATTTAGATTGGAATAGTCTCTTGTCTAATATCAATGAAAATAGATCTCTACTCAGACTTATGTTGAGGATAATTCAGATTTGTAAAGATAAATTTAAAAGCTTTTAGATAAAGTGTGGAAGTATGGAATTAAGGAAATGGAAAGTCCTTGTGGCCATGCAAGAATGAAGGAAAGAAAGAAGAAAACTAAAAGAGAAAATAGAAAATTTGATTGGTTTAAATACACTGAAACTGTTTATATTAGAATGTACTGCACTGTCTTCAAAGCTGAAAATGTAAGTTTGAACATGCATTCTTACAGCTACCCTTAATAGAAATTTGAAAAAGTCAAGTGAGGGCTAGGGATTTAGCTCAGTGGCACTTCACCTGTCTCACAAGCATGAAGTCCTGAGTTCGATCTCTGATACCAAAAAAGCAAAAACAAAAGTCAAATGATCAGATTGCTTAGCTTTTCGTGTCATTCTGAAAAAAAAATTTACTTGAGGATGTACTATGCATGATTTGAAAGGCAACACTACAATAAAATACATTACATATTGATAAATACCAAACATAAAACAACTCATTATTAAAAAATTACAGATTTACAGAGATAATTTTAACAAGAAATTGTATCCATTGCATAAATATAAAATTAAGAGCTATAATGTTAACTGTATAATGAAAGCATATGCTTCTATTTAAAAAGTTACTGTCACACTCAACTGAATATTGCTTACCATGAGATATAGGATCTGCTTTAGGGACAGGTGCTTGTATCATTCATCTTTGTATTTTAAGTACCCACATATTTAGTATACATGAATGCCTTGTAGACATGATTTATTTCTACTCAGCCAAATCAAACTATTCTCCATTCCCCTAGGTAAACTGCCACATCTGCCCTGGAAAACAGAATAAACATTAACTTCCTTTCATACTCTCCCTCCAGATAATTACTAAATATTTTTATTCCCTTATTCTTCAATGAATCTTCAATTCACTGAATGTTCCAACTCCATTGTATTAGGCTGGGCGCTAATTATCACCCAACTAACTGCTCTCAGAGAACTTTTCTCTCCTTCACTTCATGTTGAGCTCTGCTTACTCACCTTTCTCAGTGCTGAGACACAATACCCAACTTCTACACCTTAGAGGAAGAGAGCTCTAATTTATCTCATGGTTTAGGGGCATTCAGAACATGGTCAGCTATTTCCAAAGCAGAATACTCATGATGGAAGGGCATGGCAGAGTAAAATGCTTCATAGTAGCCAGAGAGCAGATAGGGGAATGATTCCAGAGAAGATGTAGGCCAGGAATCATATATAACACTCAAGTCTGCATGACTGACACAGACACATTTAAAAGTAGGAATCGGTTAATCCAATCAATTTAATACATGATAATTAACAGTCAAAATCCACCCCTTTCCAATTGGACAGCAAAACATATTTCCTTAAACCATACTTAATTTCCAAATAGACACAATATTAATATGCCCAACATGAAACAACTCTCTTGTATGTACAGAAAACAAAATAATCTCTTCCCCAGAGATGCAATATTTGCAGTATTTTTCAAAAGTTCAAGTCACAGTTTCTTCTGAGACTCAAGGCAAAGTCTTAACTGTGAATCTATATAAAAATTAAAAGTGAGTTATATAATCTGAAAAAGTCTAAGCATTCACATTTCAAAAGGGAGTAACAGGAGATAGAAAAGAACCAAACCAAAGGAAGTTAAAAACCAGCAGGGCAAACATTAAATCCCAGCGTGTGGTGGCGAAATGTGAATTATAGAGAGCTTAGATAGCCCCATTTATAGGGCCCTATTGCAGCACACAAGGCCTATATCTTAGACTGGCTTCACATGTAGCCTGTAACTTTTCTTGACATTCCATATTCCTGACATCTCTGGTTTCCTGTGCTCTTCACTGTACCTTTTACTTCATTCCTGTAGTTGTAAGCATTACCTTCTGAAGGGCTCCTTTCTTAGATTTCCAGGCCTTCCTTTGAAATCTGTATGGAGGTTGCCCTGGACTCAGAACATTTGCATTGGCAGTAAAATCAGAATCATGAGGTTGATGCTAAGGTCTGCTACAGGAAAAACAGTACCCAGACCCTCTTTGACAATGGTATCATCATCATCTGAGTTTCTGGATGGTTGAGCCCAGTGTACTGAATCTCATGGAAGCAGTTCTATAGGAGGCTCTTTTTAAAAAGAGGTCCCATGGATTATCTCCTCATCTCCTCAAATGAAGGGTT